TCCATGTTGACATGGTAGCATCACACAGTTGCTGCAGATTTGATATGATTCACCCGTTCCACCACATCTCAAAGGTGCTCTATTGAATTGAGATCTGGGGCCTCATGTACGGAGACTTGCGTGGAAATCATATTAAAACATTGCGTACGCACAAAGCTGTAAATGCGCGTACGCAGAAAAAAATTCAGATGTATGAAACACTGCGTACGCCGAATCCCACGCATATTCTTTTGTACATCCGAATGAACGTGAAACTGAGCGCAACATGCATGAGCGCAAAACCCCTCCCTGCCTCCTCCCCCATATGAATATGCTAATGACTCTAATTGGGCAAAACCAAACGAAAAAGCAATGGCAAAAGCAAGCAAAAAGAGAAACTTTGAACAGAATGTGAATTGGAGGTGCTGCTTTCGGAGGTAGACCAGAGAAAAACGGTGTTATTTGCAAGTTTGTCCTCCGGAATTAACAACAAAAGAAAAAAAAATAGAGTGGGAGAGTTTAGCTGATGTGGTAACAGTTAAGTCTAAACATCGCACTGAGTGGATTAAAAAAAGAAATAGTGTGGTTTATAGGTGTAAAATGTTGTATTACCCTTAACAGTCTGGGTGGAGCAGCTCGTAAAACTCATGTCAACATGTTTTGACACGTTCCCACGTTCATTTCATTGTTAGTAAAGCCAAACGTGAGCGATTCTGAGCGTGAAACCTGGCGTACGCAAAGTTTTTGTGCATACGCAGCGTTGATACATGAGGCCCCTGGTGACTGTTGAGTCCATTTGAGTACAGTGAACTCATTGTTATGTTCAAGAACCAGTCTGAGATGATTCACGTTTTATGGCATGGCACACTATCCTGCTGGAAGTAGCCATCAGTAGATGGGTACAATGTGGACATGGTCCCTAATTCCCCAACTGACCCCAAATCCTGACCCTACCATCTGAATGTCACAGCAGAAATGATCAACAAGGCATTTGCACCAACATAACTGGCACTCACTGGATATTTTCTCTTTTTTTGGCCATTCTTTGTAAACCCTAGTGATCGTTGTGGTTGGAAATCCAGGTAGATCAGCAGTTTCTGAAATACTCAAACCAGCCCGTCTGGCACCAACAACCATACCATGTTCAGTCACTTAAATCCCCTTTCTTCCCCATTCTGATGTTCGGTTTGATCTGCAGTAGATGGTCTTGACCATGTCTACATGCCTAAATGCATTAAGTTGCTGCCATGTGATTGGCTGATTAGAAACTTAAGTTAACGAGCAGTTGGACAGGTGTACCTAATAAAGTGGCTGGTGAGTGTAAATTGATATATTGATTTCTGCATTTTTGTTTATTTATAAACATGAAATTTTAATTGGCCAAAGAAACAAATTACTAACTGCTGCATTTTTATTCTCTCACATTATCTAGGATAGGGTGGCTCAATAGTAGCACTGCCACCTCACAGCAAGAAGGCCGCTGGTTTAAGTCCCAGCTGGGTCAGGGCCCACTTGGTTGTGACTGGAAGGGCATCCACTATGTAAAACATAATGCAAAATAGTTAATGGTTCATTCCACCGTGGCAGTCTTTGCAGTCTTTATTTGCTTAAAGAATAATAGTGTAAGAAATTAATTCTTTATGTTAGTTAATGCATAAAAAAAGAGATCTTACTGTAAAGCGTTACAAAAATTTGTGCACTTGTGTATATTGGTATACTGATATTCACTTTGAGATTTACCTGCAAATAAGACTATTTTTATAGAAATTCTATAGATTACACCAAAATTACACAGAGCAGGCATGTACTAATAAAGAAGCAATTTTATTTTAATAAATACCATAAACGAAGAATATTTCCCAGTAATGGGTTACGGCGGGAAGGGCATCCGCTGTGGCGACTCCTGATTAATAAAGGGACTACGCCAAAAAGAAAATAAATGAATGAATAAACAAAGAATAAATTATGTGGCAATTGTATTGCAGATTGTAATTAAAGCTTAAAATGAGATTTTATTATAAAGCGTTACCAAAATATATGCCCTAGGTATTGCAATATTGATATTCATATTGGTTTCACAAGTTAACACCCACACATAGAAAACAGATAAAAAACGCTGGAAAGATGTCTGAGCTTGGGCCATTATCTTCATCAAGAGAGACGGAGAGGAATACGAGCTCAGCGTCTAGCCCGATACCAGAAAGCTCCCCTCCCTGTGCTTAGTATGGATCTGGTTAAAGATGTGGAGTTGGGGTGGAGGAGGGATGCAAAGTCGATGAGATGACTGAGGTTAGGATGAGCTTGGTTATTTATGGGAGTTCTCTTTGATTCTGATTGGATGATTAGTGTGATTGCTGATAGCGAATTTATTGTGTTTACTATATGCGTGTGCTCCTCCCAAAATTCGATTTAAAAACTTTACTTGACCAAATATTCATTCATTCATTTCCTTTTCGGCTTAGTCCCTTTATTAATCTGGGGTCGCCACAGCGGAATGAACCACCAACTTATCCATATGTTTTATGCAGCGGATGCCCTTCCAGCTGCAACCCATCGCTGGGAAACATTCATTCACACTCATACACTACGCACAAAATTAACGATTCACCAATTCACCTGTACCATGTGTCTTTGGACTGTGGGGGAAACCAGAGCAGCCGGGGGAAACCCACGTGAATATGGGGAGAACAAGCAAACTCCACACAGAAATGCCAACTGACCCAGCCGAGGCTCGAACCAGCGACCTTCCTACTGTGAGACAACAGTGCTACCCACTGCATTACCGCGTCACCCCTCACCAAATATATATACTGTCCATTTCATATTACTGCTACTGATATATTGATTTTCACAGTGCTATTTTTACGCCTAAAAACAACATAATCCTAATCGTTTAAAAGCCAGATGACAATGCAAAACCTTTTGCCAGATATCCTGACTTCAAGAGCGCTGTGTTGCATCACCATGACTGTAAGTGAGACATGAATGAAGACGAGATGTGAGCTTGATGCGCCTGGCAGGCAGCAGACATATTCTGCCGACATGAAAGAGCCACCCTGTGAGATGTACTGCAGACGCACTGCCCTAAATATCCGTCATCTCACAGGCAACTGCTCTGTTTATGTGCAGCAGAAGATTGAAATAAGGAAAAACCTCCAGGGCTGACAGAAAGACGGCGAGCTCTGTGTTTTATGCGAGTAAATACCCTAAATGCCCTATAGTGCTGCTCACCGGGCTTGAACCGTGCAGGAACTGCTCTCACCGGAGCTCAAGTCCTCAAACAGTGGCAGCTAAATGAAGGTTAAGTGGATTTCGAGGATAGCATCCAAGAGGCTGGGAAAGCCCCATCTCCGGCGGCTCCCACGGGGCGTGGTGGGCTGCGGGACAGGGCTTTAGCTGATTGACTCCACCACACGCACTGCATATTTCATGGACCGCCGTCTGAGCTTACGATAGACAGACGGCAGGAGTCGTACCGTACATCTCCGGTTGCACAGGATGCCTCCCTGATGTCTTTTTTTTTAAAGCATTGCCTTTTTGACAGCATGGCATTATTGAAGTGTTACTGTGAATATGTGCTGCCTGCCAGACAGTAGTTTGTTGTTTACGGTGAGAGATTCACAGTTCAGCAGGTGGCGGAGACCTCACCTCGATCCTTTCGCTCCCCCTTTTCAGCGTGTCAACAAAAATCCTCTAATGGAGAGAAGGAGTCTCCACTTCACAGCCAAGCCTCCTGGCAAGATAGATAGATAGATAGATAGATAGATAGATAGATAGATAGATAGATAGATAGATAGATAGATAGATAGATAGATAGATAGATAGATAGATAGATAGATAGATAGATAGATAGATAGATAGATTGATAGATTGATAGATAGATTGATGAATAGAGATAGAAAGATGGATGGTTGGACAGAGAGGTAGAGATGGATAAATAGATGAATGAATGGATGGATAGGTAGAGAGGTGGATAGATAGATAGATAGATAGATAGATAGATAGATAGATAGATAGATAGATAGATAGATAGATAGATAGATTGATGAATAGAGATATAAGAATAGAGATAGATAGATAGATAGACAGACAGACAGACAGACACGCTGCCACTTGGTCCTCAACCAGCTCAGAGATCTGACAATGTGCTGGGAGCCCTGTGGAGGAATCAATTCATCCGTCCGTCTTCTGGTGTCCGTTGACGGTTCTCTTGGCTGGTGGCATTTCTGGTCTCCTGCTCTGCTCCCGCTTCGGTGGATGGACGCAGGCTTCAGCATCATGGCAGACAGCGGTGACTCCCTCTGGCTCTCTGGAATGGCTCCCTTCAGCTCTTTCCCTTCTGGTGATGAGCCCCACGTCCCCTGCTCCTCTCCGTGGAGGGAGACAGCAGCAGGCAGATCCTTTCCTCCCCAGCCTCAGACCAGTCTGGCAATCTGGGCAGACGAACAGGTTTCTCCCCCACTTGGGTTAACTCCCGAACACTGGCCCTCCCTCTCATCGGCGAAGTCAACTGGACAACGTGTCTCTCCTTTTCCTAGGTTTCGGTACCACTGTAAGGGAAAAAGGGGAGGGGAAAAAGGAGGTGAAGAACCGATAAACATTTTTTAATAATTTTTAATGAGCAAATGAAACAAATGGACGGCAGCACCTCTGAAAGTAGACTGAAAGCAAAAGTGAAACAATATGTCAGCACTGGCGTCTCTCCTCCTTATAGCTTCCAGGGATCCTCCGCGAGACTCGAGGCAGGTGACACGTCCAGGTGTCTCTGATTATCTCACTAACGCCACCTGCCTCACACGCCCTCACGGCTCTTGGCCCCGCCTCACTCGCAATACTGTTTTCACCAAGAAAAACAAGGACACCAGAAATGCAAAGCAAATTATTGACATTTGTTTGTTTTATTCAGTTAATATTTGAATTGAAATCAGTTATACACTATATTTGTTTGCCTTTTGTCTTATATTCATACCAAGATTCATTGCGAAGAACTCATAGCTGTAAACTGCTTGTGTTTTTTTCAGATGATGAGGAAGGTGAACTTCAAAGAAGTGTCCCCCTGTCACCACTAGAGAGATTCTTCTCTGAAGAGGATAATGTTAAACAACATAAGAAGAAGAAAACCAGTAAGATAATGGAAGGAAAGGAGCCCAAAGTTAAGAAAAAGAAGAAAAAGGAGGTAAGGAGTCTTAAACATTTTGGTGTGGATGAAAGTGTGGATGAGATAAGGGTAGTTGTCAAATAATCAGAATGTGTTTTATTGTCTAGATTGTATTGTGATATATTTGTGAATTATTAGGTTGAAAAAAAAAACAGATTGTGTGTGTCAAATTTGCAGGTGTGTACTATGAAGTGTTGGGTATGTTACTTTAAAAAGTAATAGATTACAAATTATTGACTACTACTGGAAAGTTGTAATCGGATTAAATTCCTAATTACTTAATGTAAAAAGTAATCAGATTACTAATTATTGTACTTTGTTGTTACTTTTAAAACATAAAATATACCTAAAAAATACAAAATGAACTGCAGCTCTTTCAGTAATTTAATATTCACTGAAAAAAACATTACAATGGGTTGATCACAACAGCTTGACATATTGACTTGGCGTATATAAAGACAAAGAGTTCGCGCCAAAACTTAAAATTCTCTCATCATTCCCTTGTTAACACAAAAAAAAAAACATGAAGAAAATTTGATGCCTGTATCCATTGACATCCATAGTATACAAAAGCACTGCAGTGTTTGGGTGTTCTGTGTTTGTCTGAGGTAATTAGTCTACCGAAATGTGTATATTTAATACAAAGCATGAAGCTCTTCGGTCAGTCTTTGTCACATGACTCGCGGTTTTCAGCTGGTGAGCCTGGAATTGCAAAAGACTAGATATGTGAACGGCCACAGAAGCAGCTATTCTTTTTTTATATTCAGAAGATACCCTCACTCCTGATCCTGCACAAAAAATCTATTTAGCTTGTTTAGGCTGAGTTGGGCTGCTGTTTTCTTTTGGGCGCCGGTGTCCTCTTTAGTAGAGTGTTGTCATAGAATGGTTTCTGTTGAAGTGCTTGAACAAGTTGCTGGTTGAGTTAAAATCAGTCGAAGGTTCTTTAGAGACAGACTGCATTTCATGGTCGAGATCTACGCGAGACTAAATTTTGAATCCCGCTCAATACCACCCAGCCATACAGAGTCCAGACAACCTATAACAAGCTGTCTGCTTAAACATACACACAAATAGACACACAGCACCAAGCAAGTGACAAACACACAGACAGCATCACGCTCTCTCTCATTCACACACATACACACACACACACACATAGACAGCAACAAACAAGCTCATCACAGCATCACACTCTCTCATTCACACACATACATACACTTGCTCGCTCGGGAGTCGGGAGCGATACTGTTAGGCCGCCCACTCCTGTCCAAAATTACACCAGTTACTGACCGCTCCCGCGCTTTATTCGGAAATTTATTCTGAATGCAGACCTCTATTTCATAGTAATATTTTTGTTTTAAACCTCAATGAAATCAAAGTAATGTCTATATAACCACTTGAAGAAGCAGCCACTCTCATCAGCAGCTATTTTAGCTTGCGTTCTCCAGCAATTTAAAAGCTTATTAACTGACGTTGCAGCAGAAAACGTGACTTAAAAGAAGAACTTTTTTTGCTTCTAAAGTCTATATTTGTTACGTTAGTTATGCAGTTACACTGACTTTAGTAACTGTAATCAAGTTACTCAAATTTAAAATGTAATTACATAACTGCGGTCCATAAAAATATAATTAGAATACTGTAACGCATTACTGTGAAACGCGTTACACCAAACTCTGGTATTATGTTATGGCGTGACAACTTTGCTGTATTAAAATAACACACACATTAAATCTGCTGCAATACAAAAAGTGAAGCAGATAGCTCTGTATTATTTTTTAAGATTGTTATGGTATATTTGATTTTATTAAACTGTCTGACATCCTATAAAGGATGTTGCAGCATCCATGGAAATTTTAAAATTCTAGTGCGATCACCCGCTTTGTGCTAAATCTGCTTTTTATAACATCCACATATTGGGGTGACCAGAATTCAAACATGTGGAGTTTTTCAGTTTAAAATAGATTAGTCTAAAGTACAACCAGCTTTCACTAGTTTGGTCAAGTTATCCATGCTATCCATATCACAAACCCATGCTGTAGCTTTGAAGCAGTTAGAGCAGAAATTATAAATGCTACTGTCTCTTTTTAAGTTTGATCAAGCTTGTTTCACAATAATAGATCAAATTTTAAAAACCAAAAACATATACCCCCCCAATTAACACTTTAAAAGGAATTAAGAAAGTGGCCAAAAATGGACAAAAGTGATCAATTAAAACATCAGGTATGAACACATTGCAAAAATACTTCTCTTTCTGAGAGTTTTTGTCTTATTTTTTAACCAAATATATAAAAATTCTTAAATTATGAAGCATTTTGCAGACAAATTAAAATAATTGTTTTGTTGTCAGAAGTAAAAAGTCCAAATTAAGTGAGCTTTTCCAGCCTGATCTCAAAAGGAAACGTAAGTATTTTACGTATTGTCAGTTTAGTGGCCAATTCGTATGAATTCGTATGATTTCAGTACAAAATTGTACGATTTTAAAAGGAGGCGTGGCACCCAACCCCACCCCTAACCCCAACCGTTTGGGTGATGAGCAAATCATACTAAATTGTACGAATTAGATCCTACAAATTCATAGGAGTTAGTCCCTAAATCAAAAAGCTACGAATTGCCTTGAGATTGCGTTGGCTTTTCCTTAAAGCAAGCAAATTATCTGCCAATGGAGTAAGTAAAATAGTCTTATTTCACTTGTAATGTTTGGCAGATAATTTTGTTAGTTTTAAGGAAAAACTCACCTCAGTTATTATTATTTCTTAAAACAAAACAATATATTTTACCTGTCTCGAAAAGGCTTCCTGATCTAAGACCTTTTAAATATTTGTACTAGAAACAAGACAAAAAAGTCACTTATCTCCTTAGTCTACTGATCAATCTGGTCTGATCAGTCAAAACACATCTTAACATACAGGGCAACGAGAAGGGCCAGATGTGCTATTGTCTCTCAGGCCGTGACATAAACTCTGCTCCCGTGAGCTGCATGATCAGTATGAAACATCTCACCTGACCTCAGGGTATTTTATCAGATTGTTTTCCAATGAGCCTTTTTTCCCCGCCAGTCCTCCCTCGGTGCCTTGGCGAGAGATAAAACGTTTGACAGGTCAGTCAGTCTCAGTCCCCCCAGCTGACTGTAGTTACCATTGAGATAATGAGAGGGATTCCTCTCTATCTCCTCCCTCGCTCTCTCCCTGTCTCAAAATCACTCCTTCTCTCATCCTCTCTCCCTCTCAGCAGTGGTAAATGTGCCGTGGAGAGGGCAGAGAGGTCTCCCCTCAGCAGCTAAGAGCCCTGCTTGGCGTCAGTCATGCTCTCCCTGCAGTGCCGTGTCAGACACGGGCTCAAATCAATGCGGGTCAAAACCACCGCCTGCCCTTCTGCTGTCCGTAAGTCTAACAGCTCAGCTCGCCAAAGCCGGCCACCTGCGCCAGAGCCTGATAGACTGGAGAGTCTGGGGATTGTAGTAGGAGAGTGAGAATTGATGCTTTGTCAGATGTAAACAATGATAAGTGTCATTTCTGTAGTACAGATGGGAGTTTTCTTGGCTGGGTGTGTTGAAGATGAGGATGTTTTTAGGGAAAAGATTATCTCACTGGAAAAAAAGATCTCTAAGCTGTCTGACACTATTATGCAGTTCACTCCCACTGAAAATGCAGTATTTAAAGGTACAGCTCAACCAAAAATGAAGATTCTTTCATCATTTTCCTCAAAGTTCGGTTGTTCAAAATCTGGATTGCTTTCTTTCCCATGCCGGAAAGTGTTCATGCTGATTTTCTGCTACTTACTTTTCATTAAAGAGAATAGTTAATAGGACTGCAAGTTTCTGTAAAAGGAAAAAGCTAGCGTAGAGTTTCTTAAAGTCTTAAATATAAACTTTTCTGCAATAAATTTTGATAAATAATAGATAATGTCAGTCAAGAGATAATAAAAAACATCAATATTATTACTGATAAATTTAGTTCAAGATAACAACTTCATAATAAGGGTTATGTAAGGCATGCTGGACAACAGAGTAAGGATCCACGTGCAGGCTTTATAGTCAGACAATGGTCAGACATAAGAGCAATCTGGTACATACAGGTAAGGCAAGCAGAGTAGTTGGATCACAGGCAAAGAGATCGGTCCAGGCGGCAAACTACGTAAACAACAGAACAAAGCAAGGCTCAAATACAGCTAGGCAAGGCTAAGAAAACACGTCATAATGCTCACTAAAACAGATAAACAAGACTCAGCAAAGATGTGTGTGTGCTGTCTTTATAGTCCAGATAATAAATGAATGATGAGCTTTAGCTATTTGTCTGTGTGTGTCATCATCAGCAGAAAACCGGAACAGGTGTGTAGGAGGTGCATGACGGGATTTGTAGTCCATATGGTGACAGGATTATAGTCCTGAGTAAAAATGAATTGCTGCATTTCCATTCGCATACTTACTACGCCCCTAAAAGTATGTTTTTGAGTGTGTACAAGAGTAAGCAAGCTTTGGGACATACTACTTTCTCGTTAACAGATTGTTGTTTTGCTGAGCCCTGTCAATCATCCACATATCATCCACATTTCTGTCATATTTAATTTACTACCTTATTAGAGAAGGAGCAGCAGGTTAACCCCCCATTAACGAGTCTTTTATGCAGAGAAATCTCCTCAAGTCTTTGGACAATTATGCATCCAGAAGTTAATGTCCAAACTAGGCATGAGATGATAACCGCTTTTAAGGTTTGGAAAAGTCAAGATTTTAATACCGCCAAAATTTTCTTTAATACCATCCCTAAGGTATGTGTAAGATTTTAGTTTTTTTTTGTTTTTTTAGAACAGTATCTCCAGCAGAAAAAAATCTCCATAGATGCTGTTTTAAATTGAAACTAATGAAAATGAAAATGAAACTAATGAAGACCGCAGAAGTCAATGATTCATTTAAGTTATATAGCCTGGCGTGTTTACTGCTCCAAAATATCATAAATCCAAAATATCACAAATCATTCAAAAAATAGAATATGTTGTTTTCAAACGGGAAAACATTTTTTTGT